TGAAAGAAGAACTCCTGGCTCCGGAATAACACCTTATTTGGCCCTTCATTCAGCATGATGCCGTCCCTCTAGCTCGTTTGACATGTGCTTTACGGCGCGTGCGAGATGGCGGGAGCGGATGGGGTCAATTGAAACGCTTCTCTGAGGGTCAGTTGAAACAGGGCCACAGGCCGTTTCAATGGACCCCGGTGACCTTTGCAATGGTTATTGTTCAGGGGCTGTAAACATTAAAGGAAATAGTCCACCTTTGAAATGAGCTTTTAAACTGAAATAGTAGTTTAATAGAGCTCAATTTTTGACCCCTTTTTCTCCAGCCTTTTGCTTGAAAGCACACTATAGCCTGAGATATTTCTCATTTTTCTCATCCGCCCATTTTACCATAGTCTATGTACTTCATGTCACCTATTATGAGGAACTTTGCACTTTTAGCTTTCCAACGACCTATTGAATGTAGCATTTGGAAAAGTAAACCGGACAAAATATCTCCTTAAGAAAGTGGCCTTAAAGAGGAAAACATCCCATTGTTAAGGATAGGTGCAATTGACCCCATGGGCTGGTTCAATTGACCCTCGCATCGGGGTCATTTGAAACGGGCGTAGAGCTGTTTTATAAGCATGGGTTTGGCAGCAAAATATGTTTGAAACATAATTTTACATATCTTAAAATAAAGCCAAAAGAGCATATTTTTTCATGGCATTGTGCATTTTTCGATATGACAACTAGATCTCGCTGTGCATGTCAATATATAAAAAGTGGTTCAACTGGCCCCGCTCTCCCCTATTTGTCAGATCTGGACCACCCACCTTTCGGGACATCTAGGGAAATCAATAAAATGTAAGACGGCTAAATAGCCATTCAGATTCCACGAATGCATTAGGGCAGTTGACGGACTAACATTCAGCTTTGCTCCTTTCGAAATATCCCTGAATTTGGAATTCCTTTGAGGACATGCGTTTGATCTTCGATGAATCAACTTATTTCTCGACAGCATTTACACTTCATAGCTGATTTGGATTTCACAATCTTCCACTTTGTACTACTATCCTAAATGTAATGGATAGTACGGCACCTCCCATTTGATTTCATGCCTTTCATCCAGCCGTCTATTGAGCAACTAACGTGTAGGTGTTTTGCTGAACATCCGTGTTAGGCAATCTCCAATGGATGGAGCCGAGCGCCGTCTGTTCCAGAGCTCCATCTGTCTACATCTGTCGTACCCAATGGCCTAGTCAGTTCGACGGGATATGTAACTTATAGCCGGAACTTTCCGTCATAAATAAAACCGAACTGCGAAACTATGCGAGAGGAGGCCAGTCAGTCAATCAAACGTCTATCCCAGGACGTTAATGTTCGTAAATAAAAAATAAAAAATAAACACGAACGTAACATCGGTCGTAATTGTATAAAGCACAATTTATTTTGCCTATTGCTGTTGTATTGTAAATACGTAGGTATTCAAAAGAACGATGGCATGTATATAGGTACTTCTCAATCTCATCGCATGACATTGGTTTAGGCTTTCACTCAACAGGATACCTTCTTCTAGTCTAGTCCTTCACTCGCAATCCTGTGCCTGAATCCCGAGCCAATAACCAAAACATTTTGTTGACTCATCGCCACATCATCGAAGCTTTGATCAGTGGACGAGTCCCTGTGATATTGCACCGATGGGATTTCACGAGAGAACAACAGAGGGCGAGCTCTTCCATTATTGATGAGGCACCAATGGTGCAGAGCCAGGCTCGAGTCGCAGCACTGGTTTACATTTTGAGTAGGTCGGTCTGTCGTCTGAAATGGATGTATAGCCTTATAGAAATGTAACGTTATTTAAGTGAATATTTCAAACGTTTCGGATATGGATAAAATACATATGGTTAGGTAGGTACCTATATTTCAGTTTGATTTTTTCACAAATCGAAGTGCTCATAAAGCTAGGGAGTTCCTAAAGTAGATGACAAAATAGATAACATAATGTAGATAACTTGACCTCGATGAACATCTAAACGTCGTTTAATGACCATTCTTCTCGCAACAGTTTCCTCTCATTGAATTTTGGTTACCAATTGGATTAAGATATTAGATATAATATGAATAAAATTGACCATTCGTAAATATATCTTTGGCTTCTTTTATATAAACTATTTTACGCACTTACCGACATAAATTGGGTTTCTTTGTTTCCGACTTAATTGTGTAAATTGTGTTATTGAGTTAACCGCGTTTACGATTCCCATTTACGAGCCTCGAAGCATTGCGGCACAGCGTGTATTCAGGCGCTGACCCCTAATGCCATCTAGGGTGATATGAATGAAACGGTAGTGTTGTTATTTCACACTTCACTATCCGAACGTTTTCTGCATGCATTTGTGCAATGTGTTTGTAAATTGTAATTATGAAAGAAGCGTATAAAATTATCACTATCCTGGCCCCTTGATATTTATCTTGACACTTAACCCCAATGTTCATTGTTTCAGTGAACCCCATAGGTACTCTGCTAGGAGCCATCTACCGCCAACAGCCGCTCCATTTCGTGTCTTCCTGCGGCCGGTCTGCCCACCCCGCTCTGTGCAGTGTTCTCCCAGTCGCAGCTCGCACCGTCCTCCGTCGGCCTCAGACGCTCTCGGCAGTCGGCTCGCCGGGCACAGATGACGGAATGACACGTCTGTCGTAACACCTGTGGCCCGTCACCCTGACGGTACAAGTGTTCCCAGACCTCCTCCCCCTCCCCTCACCCGGGCAGCGACGATCTCCGGCAGTGAGGTGGTGTAACAGACCTCAAACAGCGGCATATCATAATAGTTTATTGTATAAGTCCTCAACATTGGAAAAGTACAAATGCCGTAGTTACAACCAAACTACTGTTAGGAAACCTCCATTGCTAGTCGTTTTTGTTTGACCGGACTGCAGCATCTGCTTGCGGACTGTAAATTTCGGCAACATGGGAGGTGGGAGGCAGCCAGAGTGCTGAATCTCGTAGTGCGAATATGTACTGAGTCCTGATTAAGGAGCTACAATAAACCACCGCACGGCAACACAGGTAGATATTCTGAAACACAGACGATATCGACGGCTGGCGGGGGCCGGGGGCGCGCCGCGCGGTCGCCGACCCCCGGCCCGCGCCACCCGGGAGGAGACAATAAATTAGTGGATATAAATTAACTACCGGGGCGCCGCGCGCGAGGCGGGCCCACCTACCGTAAAGTAACCTACCTCAAGCAACGTGACGCGCGACCTCACAGCTAATACTTAAGCAGATAACTTAAGTACGGAGCCGTCTGTACCTGTCTGAGACCGGGGGCTTAGGGCCCGGGCGTCGTCTACCTACAGCTAAACCAATGACAATCTCTAGTGTATATGCTAAAACAGGACAACGATGGCGGTCCGGCGGCGCGGCCCGGCCGGCCCGCTCCCAGAGGAGGGTCGGCCGCGCCGCGCCGGCCGGCCGCTCCAACCCAGACGTGTTCACGCGGCGAGCCGACGCTGCGGCGGGCCGTGGGCCGACCGACCGGCCGGGACGGCGACGCTCAGCGCGCGCCCCGGCCGGCCAGCAGCCCCGAGTATTCGCAGGTTCCGAGTGGCAGATCTCAATATCGCATTATTGCCCGCGTTGTGGCGTCGCCGGCGCCGGCCTCTGCCCCGAGATACTCTAATAATTGGAATGTCAAAATGGCACGCCGACCAACACCGGCGTCGGAACGCGCCACTAAACCACCGATACACTTATATCGATATAGATAGAGATACGAGATAGGTGGAGACAAGAAAAAGAGACGATCTGAACGCGGCTGCGCACCGCCCCGGAACCGAACACGACTAGAGCGGCGGCGGCGGCGGCGCGGCCGCTGATTGGCTGACCACGCGCTGACGACGGCCGCTGATTGGCTAGCGCCGCCGACCCCGCTGGCCGCGGGTACAACACATAAACGACACAGAAACGCTGACAGTGAAGCTAGAGAGAAGTCTGTACACAAAAGGCGACCGCTAAAGCTAGGAGGATTGATTGCATTCGCAGAACAGCTGACCACAACGCGGCACGCGCAGTGCCCATGTAGAAAATCGCCGCGGCAAACCGCAGTGCGCACTGCGCGGCTCCACCTTGCATATATGTAATTACGGGGAGAGGCTCTATCAAGCAAAATAAGTAGATGGATTTGTGCCTCGGCTTAACGCTACTACACCGAACAGAAATGGGACGTTCACACGCACACACACCTTAGAAAACGTTTATAGAAACTACGGACATCTCACAAAAAGGAATGCTCAAATGTAACAATGACTGTTCGTTGATCAAGATTGGCCGTTTAGCCCGGGTCGGTACCCCACGTGCCCGCGCGCGAGCGATTTGTCCCCTGTCTGCACAACACGCCCTGGGACTGATAGACTCTGAATTTTAACAGGTGTTATATAAAAAGATACAACATTTGCGGTGATCACGGGTTGGCTGCGCGTCGTCGCGCCGCCCTAACAGGCCGCCGCCGGCCGGCCGGCCGGGCTCGCCGGTCCGGTCCGGCCGGGCCGCGCGGGCCCTTCTCTCTCTGTATTGCATCTGGAGTGGGTGGGATGTGTGCCGGCGGCGGGGGCGCTCTCTGCCGGTGGGTGTCTGTGTGCCAGTGGGGCGGAACGGGCGCGGGGCGCGGCGTCGGCCGCTCTCGGCTGCAGTTTAGACGGGAGGGGGAGAGCGGTGGGCCGAGGCCGCGACCGCTCCGGAATGCCATTTCTTCATATGTCTACCGGTCAGTATAAAAATAGTGTGTGCTTCTGCCTCCATGGAAGTTGGCTGGCGCGCGCGTGTCGCTCTCCGTCGCTCTGCCGGAGACCGGTGAGGGGGGGATGGGGTGGGGGTGTGAGAGTGCCGGGGGCGCCTCCCTCCCTCCCCCTCCCCCTGCGGCCGGTCCGGCCGGCTCACGGGACGCGTACACACGGGGAGCAGTGGTAGTGGCGCGGCATGCTCGCTCGACACACACGTCAACTCAGCTAAAAAGCAAAGAGAAAAGAAATCATAAAAAGCCAAAGTAACTTTTATTTCATCAGCATTACTAACAGAGAAACACTACTTCAAACAAATGAACGAATGAACAAAAATAATATTCATGTTGGCTTTCAAAACCAAGAAAATTAGTGTTAGAAGGCTACACGGCCTAGAAATCCAAAAAGCACAGTTAGCCTATACCTAATAAACTCAAACTAACCTCTAGAAGTGACGAACTAAAGACAAAATGAAGAACCAATGCAGACGGCGGGCCTCCGCGCACACCAACTGAAACTGTGAAACGCAACGAAACCAAGCTGCTGGAAACACTGGTCTAGACTCTGTAAATATGTACGCGCCGGGGCGCGATTTCTCCCGCAATAAATACCATAAATAAATAGGCAACAGTCGGGCGGGGGCGGGGGCGGCGGCGGGCGGCCGGTCGGCCCCCGCCGCCACACTGAGTGAGACATGACTAGACGTGGTATTGCGCCGCCTCCGCCTCTCGCGCCGCGCGCCTAGGGTTCCCTATCTCTCTCTCGCTGCCTATCGTGCCGTCGTCGCCGGCCGTCCCGGCGCCGCCCAGTCGGCACCACAACCCCGCGACACTGTGAGATCATTTTCATGACTATTAGAAATATATCAAACTCTGGGCGCGCCCGGCGCCGATACGTTGCCACCATGCGCGCCTGCATGTATGTGTGTGTGTGGGTGTGGTTCGGTCATGACTAGCATCGCCGTTTCGTCTGGCGCTCCCGCCTCGTCCCCCTATCGCTCTCTATCTCTCCAGTCTCTCTGTCTTTCAGCACCCTCCCGTGTTCCCTCGCTGTCTAGCTGCCGGAACGCGCGTGTCGCCGTGCCCAGCCCGTGCTGAAGCTCGCCTCTTACGACTTGTGCTTGTTGTTGCTCTTGAACGACACCTGCAGCACGCGGTTGCCGAGCGCATAGCCGTTCAGGCTCTGGATGGCCACCAGGGCGTCCTCGTAGCTGGACATGGTGACGAACCCGAAGCCCTTGCACTTGTTGGTCTGCAGGTCGCGGATGACCTTGACGTTCTGGACGGCGCCGAACGGCCCGAACAGCTGCCAGAGGATGCTCTCCTCGGTCTCGGGCGCCAGGTTGTAGACGAACAGACACCAGCCGGAGCCGGTCATGGCTGTGCCGGGCAGCAGCGAGTTGGCCAGCAGGTCGCCGGCCATCGGCGAGTACCTGCAACAGGCGCGCGCGCCGGCCGGCCGTCAGCGGCCCGCACCACGACTGCGCGCGCACTCACACCTACAGACGAGCCGCGGCCGCACTGTCACGCACACACACACCAGCACGCACACACGCACACAGGCCACACGGAGGGGCAGGCCGGGGCGGGGCGGCCCGCGCCGGCCGGCCCCGGGTTAGAGACGCGCCGCGGAGGTCCGGGGATGGGGTGAGTACCGGGGCACCGGGCGGTTAGGCTGGTTAGAGAGGACCGGGGAGGGAGGGACGGGGTGGGCCGGGTCCCGGGTGCAGCGGACTACTAGGGCATGCCGCGGCGAGAAAATATTACAGGGCAAGCACGCCGCATTCGAAAAGCCGGCCACACACACGCACACAAACATACACAGACTGGCAACAGAACGGAATGGTAGCGCGGACAGCACGCCAACCACCGAGCAGGGCGAAAAGCCAGTTAGAAGCAAACAGATCGGTTAGAGCGAAAGCAACACATCAAACTACGTACAGAAAGCATGTCAAAACAGAGATGTGTGAGAGACAAAAAATAGATGAGATGTATACTGACCTAAAAACGCCCTTCGATACAGCCATGGGCAGAACTTTGCCAGGACTAAAACAAGTAAGAGAAAAATACATCAGGTGATGTCCAGAAATGAGTTCTCTAAGTAAAGCGTGCAGAAAACGATAAACGAGAACAAAAAGCCTGACTAATGATGCGTGAAACAAAAACGAACAAGCCGTAAACTGACAATATAACGATATGAAGTAAAAGCGACACATCAGAGCTCTTCAATATAATCATCAAAACGGATAGAATAAAAATGACTACTCATGGCAAATGAACGGCTAGACAATGGCGGCGGCGCGCCCGGCACCGTCGCCGCCACCGGGCGCGCCGCCAGCGTCGAGCAATAACGGTGATGCGCGCGCGAGAAAGAGACAGACTGAGAAAGTGTGTGGTGGGCGGCGGCGGCGGCGGAGGTGGAGGACCATCCGTCTGCCCGGCCGCCGCCGCCGCCCGGTGACAGCATGCTTACATGTCGGCTTTGGGACCCAGCTTCCAGCAGGACAGTGGGGCCACGACGGGATCTATGATTGCGGCGGGTGGTGCGCTACACAAAACAGAGAGAAGGCGACGCGCCGGTCAGACAGGGCCGGCCGGGCGGCGGGCCGGCGCCGCTGGCACCTCGGCCGCGGGTTAGTCTCAGCGGCGGTACACTCCCCCGGCTCCCCAGCTAAACTGTCAGTTTAAGCTGCATTAGAGTACACGTCAACGACTCAACAACTCACGTGAAAAATTGCAAATCAATCTCGAGTCAACGACCAAAAAACAACATTACACAACATTGCAAAGCTAGATGGTTTAAATAAACATGCAGCACACTCTGAAGCTGGAATGCAAGCTTTTGCAATTTGAGCAAGCTCGACAAGCGGTTCTACAGCTCGCACTAGTTCACAGGGCTCATAGCAGCTCCCGCACGCACGCCAAACCGCCACCAAAATAGCCCTCCACTCGTCTGCTGCGGAAGTGTGTGCCGTGCGCCGTGCAGGGGGAGATGGAAGGGGGGGGGGGGCGCCGACAGGTCACAGAGCAGAGGGCGGCTGGCAGGCGGCCCGCGCTCGGCCATAAACTGGCCAGAGACACGGCAAACGGGGAGCGGCCGCCGAAATACGGCCAAACACACCGAGTAGCGGCACAGAGCGCAGATAACCCATCCAGCCAGACTGTCAGAGATCGCATCTGAAGGACAGCCTAGGCAAGCAGCGAGGATCGTAGGCAGTGAAAGCAAGCAAAATGGGCATAGAGGCTGACGTGTTCACGAGTAGCACTGGCCAAAGCACGCTAACGCAAAGCTGAATGAAAAAGGAGAGTAGGCTACAAAAGCGGAAAGTCGGAGGGGTAGATGGACAGTGGACACGTCAGCAATCAGCATGCAAATGGGAGAAGCGCCGAACATGCAGCCGGCAGGGCGGGGCGGGTAAACAAGCTCGGATCTATGACGCACTACAAAGCTCGAGTGTGCGACAGCCAGACAGCCAGAGTTGCGGCGGCGGTGCGGGCCGGGCGGCGCCGCGGTTAGTACCTGGAGCCCGTCACGGGGATGTTGTACCTGAATCGGCCGGCCGGATGGTGGATCGGCCCGGCCATCCGGCGCGCCAGCGGCAGGTACGCCGCCAGCGGCGGCAGACCCTTGGCGTTGTTGCTCGGGTTGTTGGCGAACTTGACGGTGATTGGCTCGGTGCTGCCCTCGGGCACTGTGCCGTTCAGCTTGTTGATGGCCCGCTCGGCCTCGACGCGCTGGTCAAACCGGATAAAGCCGACGCCCTTGGAGAGGCCTGCCGTGTCGGTGGGTCACCGTCAGCAGGGACACGTCACAGCACTCTGTCACACGGCATCAACACAACAGGAGCACAGCAGCAGCTACCGCCGTCCTGGTGTCGGCAACATCAACCCTATAGACACCGCGGCGCAGTCAGTACCGTCCCCAGAGCCGCGGCCGAGCCGAGCGACGCGCCGTTTGATCCGCCTGGAGAATCCACCGCGAAACATTTAGCCTCCACTACATCAAAGCGCGCCTCACTCCTAAACCGCTTTTGACGGCAGATCACACGGAGCCTAAGCGGTTCTCTAAAACAGCCCTCGGGACCTGTTTATCGATTTGACAAAATCCCAGCTCGGTCAAACAACATGGTTTCCCTGGCGACAGACTATGACAACTGCGGACCTGCCCCCGGACCTACAAAACACCCACGGGTCATTACCCTCTGCGGTCATCACAACACAATCAGACGCCACCGGGCGTCATCACGCGTCATCACGCGCCATGAGACTCCCGTCAGGACGCCTCAGTCCGTGTGTGTGTGTGTGTGTGAGGGGGACGAGAGGGGAGGGAGCAAACGACCGCCCCCGCTGGTTTCTCAAGAGTGCCGGCTATCTCCGACGTGGAGCATAGCATCAAACACTCATCAGCAGGCCCGGCAGACGGACACAAGCGCCGCCGACTAAGGGCACAGCAGGCACTGGGTATGGTCTGTCTCATTAGAAACCCAGAGTCTAGAGCCCGCAGTCTGAATGGCTCGACCAGGAGTCACCTATCAGCTTGTACCACCAGTACCTTGTGGGGTCTCGCTTCCGGCTCATTTTTAGGGGTTGGAGTAGTCACAAGGCCGGCAAAATAAGTGGTTAGCCTACCCAGTAAGACAGTCCGCCGAGTTATCAGTGCCGTCCCTGACAGTACACTCAGCCGCAGCCCGTCTCTATCTCTCCGGGCCCATCGACCCAAACCGCCCTCGGGCGGTAGCAGCAACAGTCGTACAGACAGACAGACAGACAGAGTAGACAGACGGACAGAGGGACAGAGATACAGAGAGACAGACGTTCAGAGAGACGGGATCGCCGGCGCCTCAGTTACCAGGGGCCGGCCGCTAAATGCACCAATAGTCGGCGCCATCGCGCCACGATAGCCGGCGATACCGTGTTGATTTCCCACCGGGTCTAACAGAGAGATGACCACTGCGGCGTTCCATCGCCGGCCCGACCCGCCGCGTCTCCGAGCCCCGGCAGACGCGCGCCGGACCAGACAAACAGGGCAGACCGCCGGCCGGACAACGAGCCGCTCAATGAATAGTTGAACACAAACGCTGTGCAGTGGAGCGGTTGCCTCAAACAAAGTCTAAACTACTCACAGCCGAGCGGGCGGAGCCGGCAGTACACTGCCGCACACATAACCCCCATTGACCGCAGCAGTTAGTCGCACCGTGGCCATCTGAGGTAACCCCTCACCACCCCAGAGCATCCTGCCGGTCCCCACTCACCAGTCATGTTGTCACAGAGAATGCGCGAGGTGATGATGCTGCCGTAGGGGGCGAACATGCACTCCAGGTCCTGCTGGGTCATCGACTTGGGCAGGCCGCTGACGTACAGGTTGGCGCCCTTGATAGCCTCCGAGCTGGGCCGTGCGTACGATACCTGTCGGTAGACGGAGGAAGTGGCAACGCAGGCACATCAACAGAGCATAGGCACAGGTAGGCAACGGAGGAAACGGAGAAGAGGGAGATGAACAGAGATAGGGGAGAGTGGGGAAAGATGCCCAGGGTTTTACTATGTCATATATTATTCGAAAATGATGATCGGAAAGCAAAAACTTGGAGTTACAACGGAAGCCGACATCATTTTTCTCCAAAAATATCACACTTTTGTGCCTGAAATATGATGACTTTTTTTGCTATTAAGCATTTTCCTGAAGAAGTGAAAGGGGGCATCTTACCCCACAGGGTGGGAAAGACGCCCCCTGGCGTTGGGGAAGATGCCCCCTGCACTTTAAGTGGCATAAATGGGCACGTGAATCGCCTGAACGAATCAGTAGTCCCTTCGAGACTGCAGTAGACACCAAACGTCATCGTAAGGGCCCTCAAAAGTAGTCGTAAGGGGCTTCAGAGGTCATCGTTAGGGCCATCATAGTCCAGCGCGGCCAAACAAGCCTCCGTGGTGGCGTTCGGAGACCACTGTGGGGCCCTTATAGGTCTTCATGATGCTTGAGGGCCCTCGAGCCCATCGTGGGGACCTCAGATGCCAGCACGGCCCGTGGAGCCAACGTGGGAGCTCTCAAAGGATGTCGTGAGGGGCCTGTGAGCCAATAATGGGGCCCACAGAGGCCGTCGTGAGGGCTCTCAGAGTCAGATGCCGCCCAAAAAGTCGCTGTGTGTGCCGAGAGACTGGCATGGGGAGCACCCGACCGTACTGGACTCTCAATAGTCCCAGATCGGCTTTTGTATCTATCACAAGTATGTAATAAATGAATTGACGGGCTGCTTGAAGGACAGCCTAAGGATTTAGGGGGGCGTCTTTCCCCATCAGGACAGGGGGCATCTTACCCCAAGGTACCGAAGCAACATTAAATCAGTACAATTTGTTAGCCATAAAACTTCACCCTGAAACAAACTATTCGGGACACAGTACCGCATGTTAATATATCACGACTATAGCAAGGGACTCAAAAATTATCTACCTTCTTTGATATTTACAATGTTTTGACACCAAAATATTTTTTGAAAGCAGCAAATAAAAAACATGCAATCACCAGCCAGCCGTTGCCCAACTGAGCTTCGCAAATTTTTGTGCAGTTAACAAGGCAGACTTCCGCCTTACGCTAAGAACATTAATTTCCAGGTTCGATTCTTTGTTTCGCCGCTAGAGGGGGTGGGGCGTCTTTCCCACCCTGGGCACCTTACCCCACTCTCCCCTACAGTGCGGGCGAGCGTTTGAGAGAGCTAACGCAAGGGAAGCAACAATGCCAGAGTAACATAATCTAAAATAAACACTACTAAGTCGCACAGGTACGGAGCGTAGTTAAAATGACAAACATTCCGCACCATGGGTCCAAACGAGCCTTACACCGCCCAATGCAAACAGCCCACAACTTAGAAGTCGTCATTATGACTCCATCAAAGTTAATTTCGAATCCTGTGTGTACAGCCCCGTTACTATGCTAGTTAAGCATCCCAATCTCTCATTCAGAACGCGAAGCACTTCTTTGATCCCCAAATTAAATTTTCCGCGGTAGTCGGCATTTCTGCGGGCTCCTGCATAGAATCGGAAATCCGCTGGATCGCAATATCATTCCAGTCTCAGCGTTCCTGGATAATGAACAGCCGTGTCCGGGGAGGGAAGGGTCTTCTCTGATGACCCACCCACGACGCTCCCCGCTCTGAGCCGTCTGTTTGCCGTCGTGCTCCACGTCACCTATCCGGCGTGTGTCGTGTACACTGCAGTCGGGTGTATTGACTCTCGCTCTGTCTCCCGCTCCACTCCCTCTGGCCAGCTACTCTGCCGAGCCTCATCACATAACGTCGTCTGCCAGACTACAGCAGGCTCTCAAGACGTGCAGCCGTAGGCACACACGGCCACACACTACACCCCAGCACGCACACTGCCTCCGCCGAGCTCCTTTCCATCTCGTACTAAGGCGGGGCGGAGCCGTATCACCCCAGCCAGCCGTCCGCCGCCGAGGGACACGATCCGTTCACCCGAACGAATATCGTTCGGGCGGGGGCGGGGGCGGGGGCGGCGGGCCACTCTATCTGGGACGCCATATTGCCGCGCGCCACCGCGTGGTGCCAATTATGGCGCGCCGGCGGCAATATCGGCGCGTCACAGCCGACGTCACGGCCGGCCGACCGGCCGATAGATGGACGGCCGGCCGACCAGTCAATGCCGGTTAGCCGATAACGGCTCTGAGCGGGCGGACCGACCGCGCCGGGAAACTCAAACCACACCGGCCTTATCGTAATCCCGGCGGCGGCGCGGCCATCAGGATCTACATTTCTGAGCGAGCACCGGCGCCGCCGAGCATATGTCTTTGAATGGCGCCGCGGCCGAGAATAGCAGTCTGGTCTGGTCAGTTGGGCGGCGGCGGCACGGGGGCGCGGCGCGGGTGCCGTTCACACAGGGCCGGTGACCTGCGCTGCTCCAGAGACGTCTGTCGGGCCGGTACCAGAGGAGAGTCACCGGCCGGGGCTCTCTGAGGGCACCGGCCGGCCGCCGGCCGACGGGCGCCCTGCCGCCCGTATTGATCAGCCGCCCTGGAGAGCCGGCGTCCCCTTCCAACCCCGCCGGCGCCGGCGGCCGGCGATCAATAGGCGGCCCGCTATTGATCCGGCGGCCGAGCCGAGCCGAGCCAGGCCGCCCCCGCCGCATCGACCCCGACCCAAGGGCCGCCGACGACGGCGCGCCCTTCCCGCCGGCCGGCGGCTCTCGTCGAGCGAGCCGCGCCCGAGAGCTGCGCCAGCAGACCGATCAGACCTCAGAGGTATCATAGCGACAGCACAGCGCACCCACACACTAATGAACGAGTCGGCCACTACGCCACACCGCCTGTCTGGACCTCGCTGTCTTTACTCGTGCCGCCGTAAAGGAGGCTGTCCTCAAACCCTCCACACGAAGAGAATCAGTTGAATCAGTTGAAGAGTGCAACTGCTGCATACGGTAGACAATGCCCTTGATGAGGTAATTACGGAGCGAGCGAAGCGAGCGGAGTCTTACGTAGAATAACGGAAATTTCTGAGTATGAGCGGCCGGCCGGCCGGCCGGCCGTGGTCACGCTTCTGCGACGCTTATATCTCAGCAACCACTTGACCGATTTACATGCGGTAATTTTTGTAGGGTAGCTTCATTCCTTCTACCAAGTATTGGACTATTCCCGATGCATGTGGGTGACCCCTTATGCACGTGCCACGTGCAAAACAAAGAGGTGTCACTTTTGTAATTGTTGCAATATCTCGGTAACTACTTGGCCGATTGCGCTGAAAGTTGGCATGCAGGTAGGCACCCACTAGGCAATGCATATCCATGTGTCGGAGTTGGGGTGCTGCTGCACGTGCGCACGTGCAGGGGTCGATTCCAGATCTCGAGAACGGCTGGACTGATGGCGCTCAAATTTGGTACATGGCTAGGGACCGGTTAGTAGGGTGCCGTGCAAAAGTCAGTTGGGACCCATTTTGCACGTGCGCACGTGCAGGGTGCCGCTTCCAGATCTCGAGAACGGCTGGGCCGATTGTGCCCAAATTTGGCACATCGCTAGAGACCAGTTAGTAGGGTGCCGTGCACAAGTCAGTTGGAGGTACCCCCTCGCAATTTCGCACGTGCAAGGCCCACCCTCTCGCTCGCTCCGTTAGTCGCCCCAAAAGGCGTTATGGCCCTTTCACACGTAGCAACTTTTCAGTCGCCGGCGACAGCAGCAGTCGCCGGCGACCGCCAGCGACCGCCAGCCAACGATCGTGTGTGACGTAGGTATGACGTAAGCAAGTCGGTGGCGATCGCCGGGCCACGGCCGGGCAATCGCCAGCAACTGGTGACGTCAGATCCGCGTCACAGGCCAGTCGCCGGCGACTCTTCTCGAGCGCCATGACAGTTTTGTCCTTGGTGAGTGGTTTAGGTGATTTGTGATGCATTTTTTTCTTAAATTGGTTGGTGTGGCTACCTTAAATTTGTTGCACAGTAGCATAGGGATTATTATCTTGTAGTTTGCCTGTCGTGAAGCTGTTGTGACTTGAATTTAAGCTTGATTCGACAATATTGGAGGGTTTATGTCATATGCGGCGCACTTGCCCATGATCACCCATGATTTTTATTTGTGATAAATATGTATTTTTTCATCAAAATTGAATATTTTAATAACATTGAAATTGACACTAGTTTCATAAGGTAATGAAAACTTGCTTGTTGTGTCACAAGAACATTGTTTACATTCAGTATCAGTGCCCTTGAGGACAAAGTGCCTACCCATCAGTCAGCTATTTGCCTACCTATTCGTGCGACACAAGGAAATATTTGATAGCAACAAAATATTATATTGCTGCTCATTAATTAGCATGATCAAAATCAAACAGGTAGCTTTGCAATTTTGTTATTGTTTCTGCTGGAGTTTTCCTTGGTACCATGGATAAACAACCCAGGCCAAACTTGATCCGCATTGGGTTCGCATGTGTGTGCGTGCTCACATGGCAAATGATAATCCATGGCTTATTAGTACATAAATAATTGCATTATGCACAGTAGGTGGTAGGTATGTCATGTATTTTGGCAAGGTATGTAGGCAAGGTGGTATGTATTTTGGCCCTGAAGCTGTTTCCTATTCATTGCAGCAATGCTGCCGGCATGGCTTATGTGTACCATGCGCACACAAGCTCCACCAATGTAAAAATGTCATTTTCACACAAAACTCATAATTGGAGGAAGGTATAGAGCAGACCAAGAATAAGCGGGCATTTGCTGCAGTGTGGAAAAAGTCACTAGAGGCTTGATACTTTTTTACATGCAGCAGCCTGGAGATGTCCACAGAGGCATGCCTGAGGATGTCCACAGAGGTGGATCCAGGCAATAGTTTTTACAATCTTCTCCCCTTGTGCCCGCTGTGTGTTGTGCTGACTGCTTGTCCCCCTTCTGGTGGTGCCTAGACTTGCCTCTGCATA